GATAAGAATTTCTAAGTTTGCTGATAATTTATAAGAACATAATCAAAAAGAAAATTGTCATTAGAGAAATATAAGTTAGGTAACTTCTAAGTTTATAGATTTTTGTTGTTGTTATCGGGTATTATTACTACAAAACTACTATTCCACTCGTCCCTTATTTTTGGACATCAGCTCCGGTCAAGTTTAGAGACAATTGAAGTTTTTTCATATTAATAAATATAAACTATGCTTTATTTTATGAAATGATTGAGCATTATCCATCTTTAATTTTTTGGAATGATTACGTTGGACTTTGATTAACAACGTGAGCAAATACAAAACAATTTTGTTTACCAAAAAAAAAAAATACAAAAACAATTGTTAATTCGACTAGTGTGCTACATTTTTTTATACTTCATATGTTATTAATCTGTTAAATGTTGAGCAAACAAGACGAATGGACCAATATGGAGGGGATCATCCTAAGAGTTTTAGAAAAGCAAATCGGTGATCTCTTAGTTTACTACTTGCTTAAGGTAAGAAAATATTTAATGTGCTCATATGTATACAGGATCGCAAATCTTCAGGTTGTATCATTAAATTGTACTGAGTCATAACTGATTGTATTAATTGGCCATGTCTACGTGTTGTGATAGCTGTTTGGATTGACCAGACCACCTTCATGTGTGTGTTTAGCTCAACAAACAGAGTTGAGATGTCATTTGAATATCTCACAGGACTTACACGTCGATCGAGCTAGGTGTCATCGAAAAGTGCCAGAAAATAGAATATATTTTTTTTGTAGAGAGCATTTGATTTTCACCTAACCACGTTTTTCACGTACCACAATGGTTCCTCAATTTCTACAACTTAAATATTGCCTTCAACATTACTATTGGTATATGTATATATTCTTTCAATTCTCACCTATTATATGATAATGTCAATTATCCATTACCTTTAAACAACTTGCCAAAAAAAAAAAATATATACATTGCATCATGTTGTAATATAAATTATTATAAAAAATATGCAGCTTATCTAAAACAGAATCACTAAAGTTTTCTCTCGATAATTCAAACACTGAAATCCAAAGTAGTCGTAAGTTTTCTAGTAGTTTTTCTACAATAATTAGTATACTAATAATTTACTGTTTTATCTTTCAAAATCATGTAAAACATTTCACTAGTAATAAAGTCTGTATTTAATATTATTATTTTGAAAAGCCTATTTTTAAGTTTCTAGAGTTTTCCCTTGATTTTTTATGGTTGTACACAACGTGATTCAAACAGCTAATTTTATTATTATTTACAAAATCTACTAGC